GGGAAATGAATTGCATCTGGTACTGCACCCAAAGACAATCTTACAGAAAGCTACTTTTTTGAGTTATCAACCTCAGATTTTGGAACACAACTTGTTTAGCTCTATGGCTTTGTTTTTCTTCCAGTTTTAGAGTAAAACATGTATTGGAAAACATATATTTCACATAAAAATTTTATTGTGCATTTTTCATAACAATACACTTAAACTTCTACAACTTTAAGTTTTCACCTTTATCACTTTAGCAATAATCTACCAAGTGTCTTCTTTAATAAGAGACCAAACTTAAGTCTTTTTAAACTTTAGAGATTTTTGACAGTTTAAGTTGGAAATTTAATTTTCAGGTCTATGCCCAAAATGGGAATATATGGATTATAACATTTGTCTTGATACAGTTTTATGAACTCATTTGAATTTCAATCCATATAGCTTTTTCCTTTCAAAACTGCTCAAGCTCAGTCAATAAAAGTGAAAAAATCCAAGACGGTAAATATGTTTAAAGGCACTGTACTTGGAAAGGAAACATTCAACCTTTTTCCATTATCGTCTTGTATTTACACTTGCTGCCTGCCTCTTACATTGCTAACACACTCCAGGTGGAGTGGCGCTGGAGTCCTAGAGAGATGGTAGGGAATTGCAAAGGGGGCAAGAGGTGTCAGATCCTGAAAAGGCAGAAAGAGGAACCCGATAGTGGCTGGGTGATGGAGGTCTGGACCGGGGCAGAAGGGTCTGGGGCTTCGGGTATTGAGGGCAGGATTATTGGGGACAGGCTGAGGAGAGATGAGGGCAGAGAGCAATCTGACCCAGCGGGAGAGAGTGAGAGAGAGAAAGAAAGAAAGAGTGGGTGAGATGGGGCTGAAAAACTCAAAGAGAGACTAAGGAAATGAATGAGATTCAAGGAATGCTGAAACCACAAGGTGGAGAGAGAGAGAGAGAGAGAGAGAGAGAGAGAGAGAGAGAGAGAGAGAGAGAGAGAGAGAGAGAGAGAGAGAGAGAGAGAGAGAGAGAGAGAGAGAGAGAGAGAGAAAATGTAATGAATCTTTTAGCCTATATGAAATAAAGCAGTATACGAGTTGCCTATACCATATGATAAGTGAGATTTTTTTTCAATTAATACTTTTATTCGGCAAGGACACATTCATCTGACAGTAAAGATATTTGTAATGTCACAAAAGATTTCCATTTCAAATAAATGTCTTTCTTTTGAACTTTCTATTCATCAAATGAATCCTGAAAAAAAGTAGGTGATGCCACGTTCACACAACATTGGGAAAGCACCACGGGGGACATTATCACTCATAAAACAAACACGGTTACGTCAATACACAGTCTCACCTCTATTACAGTAAGCTCTAAAATAATGCTCAATGTAAAACTGAAACAACAATTGATAGAGATCACAGCAAATAAGTGGACCTTTAAGGCATGTTCCGGGTTCAACAAGTTAAGCTGTCGACAGCATCTGTGACATTTTTAAAAACAAGCAAAAATCGTGTTTACGGTAATGAACTTAAAATAGCCTATAAGCCTATGCAGCAAGACATATTGTATTAACGGTTAACAATAAACATAATAACAAATACACTGTTCTAAAGTAAAGCAACAAGACTGAATGAAACATTATACTTACAAGTAACGACTCTAATTAAATCACAATCAATCGATTAAATCGTACCGCTGTAATTTTAGTATTATTTATAGTTTTTAATATTTTGTATTGGCTTTTATGTTTATGTTTTTAGTTTTCATTTTAATCTAAGTTTAATTGTGTAGTAATTTTATGAGCTACTGTCATTTTTAGTTTTTTTAATACACTACTAAGAATAGGTTTATTTTATTTTTCATTTCAGTTCTAGCTGTAGCTCAGTTCTATTTTACTTTTTTTTTTTCTAGTTGGTAATTTATTGCTGCAACTGAAACTTATTTTTAGTTTGATTTTTCACATTTTTGTTTATAGTTTATATTTTCCATCTAACTTATATTGTATTTTATTTCATTTTACTTTATGTTAATTAACAAAAATGTTTAATTTTAGTTTAAAAATAATAACACTGATCAGTACAAAAAAAAAAAGTTTACCTGCATAGAAAAGAAAGTCCCAGTGATAAAAATGTGATTTGGACAACTTTACAGCTCAAATACCATTTATGTATGGAATAATTTAATCAAATAAAAGCACTTAAAAAAAAGAATGAACTGCACGTTTCTACCTTTAATCCCTGCCTTCCACCATAAATTTGTCTACTAAGACTAAAGAAAATAAAAGTGTGTTTCAATCATACATGGTTGTGGACAAACAGGTAGCTTCACTCTTTCACTGATGTCTCCACAAACAAACTCGACCTCCTGACAGAAACCCATTTCTCTTTCATTCCCTCTCTTAATTCTCCCATCCTTTTCCTCTTCTCTTCCCCTCTTCTCTCTGATGGCATCTGAGACACAGGACGTCTCCACACTAAAGTGCTGAAAGACTTGGACACGTCCTGTGATAGAGACCACAATGAAACAACTGCCGCTGGACCACACAGATACAGTGACACGCAAACTAAAACCTGCCTCACTATTTGCATTTATCAAGAACATGTACAGCATTGAGCAAGTCCATCACTGTCATGTCTTAGTGAAAAAGCAAAACTAAAATAAATGTGGTGTTTGCAGTTCAAGACCAAACTCAACACGTGGGAGCTTGTTTGTGTCATTATAGCCTAAAGGTGTAAATATATTTAAATCAGGTGGCTCCCATAAAGGTTAAACACATACTCGCATAAACAGATATGACGACTTTCCGATGCTTTAATCTAAAAGTGATGCAAATCACTAATCTAATTTTCTCTGTTCTGTTTTGCATGTTTGAAGCTGAAGTAATACGATTCTTGTCACTTCTTATTATAGAGAAGGCCATTGACATGTTTAAATAAAATCGATGTGGGCTTGGGGTTAACCCTTTAAAAAAAAAAAAAAAAAAAAAAAGATACCTTTGCAGAGGTTTCCTAAACTAACTACAAGTGTTCCTTACTGTGCTGTTCAATTCAAGGGGTGACTTTGAAAAACAGAGCCTGACTGCTTCTAGTGGTCATTGGAGAAATTGCAGTATGACAGACATCATTAACTGGGTGCCATTAAGGAATTAACATAGGGTAATATATAAAGCATTTATTTTATTAATAAACAGCCTTTCAGATCGAGAGGAAGATAATGATTTAGGCTAACTCATAACTAATTGGTGACTGTATGTCTTAAACTGTATATATACACAGCGTTCCCATTCTTTTTGTTCAATACAATAAGTGTTTCATGACCTTTCCAGTTGTTCCCAAGTACAAGATAATATTGAAAAAAAAATTATAGATTGCTGAAGTAGATGTTTTTTGTACCTCATGTATTAATCCAGAAGTTACTGGATATAAAAGATTACACATACTAGTTTACAAGAATATATTTAGTGTTTTATTAGTCTTGTCTCCAAAGAGATCCTCATCCGACATACTGATGTTTCACGCTTACATGTGGCATTCATAAAACGCAATATCTAATCCATAAAATAGCTTAGAGCAAAAAAAAAAAAAAATATTTCATTGATGTTTCCATGACTTTTCCAGGCCTTTTTAAATTCCCTGGTATTTCCAGGTTTTCCATGATTTTTCCCAAGGTCAAAGAAAATAAACTTAGTTTTAAACCTTATTCTTTTAGGTCCAGGGTTTACTAACACATTCAAAAGAGCTCTTGGACACAAATCTAATCAACACGTTTTCTCCATCACACAAAACATACTAACAAACTAAGACCCACCCTTTTTCCTGGGCTTTTCCCACACATTTACAATTAACTGTCCAACGCAAACATGTTCAAAAACGGACAGATCATTGCCACTGTTTGCACATGTACAAACCACAATGTTTAACTTACTTCTGTCAACTAGCATCAGATTCACTCTCCTGTCATGCTTCGCAAAGATAAATCTGGAGTGTTTTAGTGCATTTTGTTATTTCAATTTAAGGCGGCTGAAAAATGTTTGCACAACAGACTAAATACAGAAACAAACATGATTAAAATGAATGTACATCACTAAAAATAGATTGCACAAAATGTAAAAAGAAAAATCTAAATACAAACCCAAGACATTCAAACTTAAGAAATGTATTTGGAAACATCTTTAAAAAATACTGTTAAGACTGAAAACAAACTATTATAATATTTCAAAACAGATTTAAAAGTTAAAGGAATAGTTCACCCAAAAAGCAGGAAATAAAATCATTTACCAATCCTCATGGCATTCCAAAGCTTTACAGTAAGACTTCTTTTGATCATAAAAAGAGAAGTTTTGAATAATATCCTGGGTGTTATTTTTTTCCAATATAGTAAAAAATTCACTGAAAATATTCCCCAACACTGAAGGTCTGAATTGAACCAGTGGTGAACGGTTTGGTGTTAACCTGCAATTTCAGAATTTTTTTGTAGTTTGTTATTTTTTTGTAGATAAAATGCTGTAACAACACCAACACTGAAATTGAGAAAAATGGGTTCAACATTTTTTTCTATTATTTATTCTGAATCTGACCATAGTTGAGCCAAACCCATCTGACACAGGACAGCTCATAGTCTAAGAGATATGATTTAGTTAAATGGACCACTTTTATGACACTTCTATTGTGCTGTGGTTTTCATTTTGGAATGTGCTTGACTTTAATTTCACTTTAATAATTATATGAAAAAAAGATATTCTCCAAAAATATTTCTTTTGCATTCCATGGACAAAATGCACATGGGTTTAGAATGACATGAGGATTAATAAACAATGACATAATTTTTATTCTGGGTGAACTAAGGAAATTGTAAACATTAGCATGCTGAAACACCTACTGTATGCATACACAAAAACCTGCTATTAACATGCACACTCATTTTTAGTCCATTTCAAGCTGAAAAGTGCACGCTACAGTAACCTTAGACACCTGCCCCTGTAGAGGGAGAGCGAGGACACCATGATATCCACCATTAGAGATGTCTCTACAGAGGCAGGTTCAGGTCAAGTTACAGATCAAATGCGCTCGGATCCATTTTTAAATAAGACTGTACTCATACTACACTTTGGTATTTTTTCTGAACAAATAATGCTGCATGCAAGATTATTCATCACTCTGCATAATTGTTGCTTGTATTGTAGTATTCCTCATCTGTAAGTCACTTTGGATAAAGCATCTACTTAAAGAATGACTGTAAATGTCATTGTTCATGCTAAGTATTTTTGTAGTTTGTAGTGTTTAGTGCTGCTCTGAAAGAGCATTATCTTGCAGAATTGCCTGACAAAAGTTTAGAATTAAACTTGAGCATTTTTAAACCGAGGATTAGACTGCAGTTTTGATGCTGATCCCATCTGTGAGTTTGTATTGGACAATCAAGGATGGTCAAAAGTGGATGATGTAACCAATTGCCGCCTTCGGGGTTTCAGCTTCAGAGAGCCATAGCGAGGCTTTAAAAAAACAATACAACACCAATACACATAGTTAATCTTCAGTAAATACTACAGTGGGGTTTTAATATCTGAGACCCCCAGGGTTTTGTATTCAGCTTTAGATTATAAATAGCGCTGTCAAATCGATTAATCGCGATTAATGGATTTGACAGCACTAATTATAATAGAATTGAACAGAAAATGTTTGCATGTACAAATGTACCTCTTTGCGTGCTGCTTTGGCACGGGTGAGTTTGACACTCTGAGATCTGCGCAGGCCCTTCTGCACTGACGCCTCGTCGTCAGAGAATACTCCATCTGTTTCCTCCTCATGCCCCTCCCCAGCTTGAGTATATGGCTCTGTTGGAGCAGATGCACAGAGGAAGCAATAAAGATCTCAAACAAGAGGAACGGAACCTTGAAGGATTAGTTTACCCAAAAAATTTAAATTCTATCATCATTTACGCACTCTCATGTCACTCTAAACCCATTTTGTGAATTTGTGGAATGACAAAAAAAAGAGAATTTTCAATACAAATCACAACAAATAGATATTAAAGCTATCAAGCCTCAAAAGATGTAAACGCACCATGAAAGTATTGGAATATAGTGGAAAATGTTTATGGTGCTTCATTTTATTGTGAATGCAGTCTTCCTTTCTCTATGAAAGGCATATGGGTTTGGAGTGATATGATGGTGAGTAAATGACCGCATTTTTTGTCCAAAATGCATGATTTGTATTATCTTACAACAGTATATTTCTTATTTAGGGAAAAATAGAGTCTATTGGAGACGTCCAATAGATTACTTGGGCCCGCCGAAAGAACACCACAGACACAGTACAATCGACATGGGAAAATCTCACAGTAAAACAAGCAGCTGTGAAAATATGATACACCGGTGTTTTGCCAGATGAGAAGTTTATCTATGTATCATCTTTTTACTCTTTTAATTCCTTTAATAACTGTATCATCTTGATATCTCTTTTAATTCCTTTTTATAACTGTTTTAATTTTCCTTGCTTTTATTTTGTGATTATTTTAATTCCTTTCTGTGTAAAGCACTTTGAATTACCATAGTCTATGAAATGTGCCATTTAAATAAACTTGCCTTGCCTTATTACTTGGACAGTCACCTGATAACAGATTACTCTAAATTGTAATGCAGAAAGAAACATGCATTTTCTGTAAAGCTGCTTTGAAACGATATGTATTGTGAAAAGCGCTATACAAATAAATGTGAATTCAATTGAATTGTTTGAACAGCTAGACTTTCCATCAGTTTCCATAAGGATTATTTTTCAATCCTTGTTCTACCACTAGAGGGAGACATACTGTAATTATTATTTAACAGACAATGTGCTCCACTAGGGTTCATCTGCCCTTGAGGTCTTTAAATGCTAATTTTGACTCTTACAGCTCATTTGTTTCTTCAGTTAAATCAGTATGTGGTAATTTTTCATAATTACATAATCAATTATTTATCATTATATAATCAGAGAAATGATGTCATTAGAGCATGTGCTCACCAGAATCGACAGCGCTGGGGTTAGCAGGATGAAGGGCCCGTCGTCGGCTGGGGTTGGAGAAGGCTGACTGCTCAGAGGGGATCTGCGTCAGGTCTGGAATACTGAAACTCCTCAGACGTTCACTGATGGCACCCTGTCCCTGTGACACAAGTCATGTGATCAGCTTTGTCACTATGCATGATCTACACAGTGCATTGAGTGAACACAATTCAAGAACCAAAAAGCCTTCATTTGTGGTTGCTTTTATTATACACAAGCAAAGACATATTTTTATTTCACTTATCTGAAGGCATCGACCAGTTAATAATGGTCTAATGATGTGCTGGTGACAGGTTACTTACAGCAGATCGAAAAAGAAAGCAAGTTACCTGGGAAGGGTGCAGAAGCTACTGCTGGAGTTTAATTTAGCATGTAGACAGAAAGAGAAAGGAAACAGGAAGATTTGTACTAGATTTGTAATTTTTTTTTTAAGAAAACGTGAGTGGTGATTAGAACAACATTAGCAACTGCATAATGTGGCAGATGGTTACCAGGGTGTTGCTATGCAGTGATTTTAGTGTGTTGCTATGCGGTTGCTAGGGTGTCAAAAGTCAAAAGACCCCAACCCTAGATATTTTTGTCTCTAGATATGAGGAGTGAACTTTAGCAAGCACCACTACTAAAAAAGTGTTGGGGATTTTCTTTTAAGAATCAGACATGGCCAGACATTAAATTTGAAAAAAGAAAAAGAACAAGAGAGAACAAGAGAGGCAATAGTGAAGAGCACATTTAATATTTATTGAGTCACTCTGGTTTTCATTTCCATGCAGTATTCGTCTTAATATTAAATAATACATAACAGAAAATAATCATACTGACCTGAAACTATTTTAACAGAAGTATATATAATACTACTGTTCAAAAGTTTGGGGTCAATATGATTTTTTAAAGAAATTAACACTTTTATTCAGCATGGATGTATTAAATTGAGCAAAGGTGACAGTAAATACATTTACATTGTAACAAAAGCTGCTGTTTTTTAAACTTTCCAATCATCAAAGAATTCTGAAAAAAATAATACTTTTTTAACATTGATAATAAGAAGAAAAGGTTCTTGAACAGCAAATCAGCATATTAGAATGATTTCTCAAGGATCATGTGGCACTGAAGACTGGAGTAATGATGCTGAAAATATTCAGATTTGCCATCACATTAACAAATTAAATTTTGAAATATTTTATTAGTTATTTTAAATTATAATGATATTTCCTAATATTATAGTTTTTAACTGTATTCTTTTTTTCCATTTAACTAACAAAATCAAGTTCCTAAATATTTTAAAAAATCTGGTATACCCTTTCCTAGAAATTCTTTTTATAAGCAACAAGAGCTTAAAACAGCATATCAGAAATGTCTGTAAAAAATTAAGTAATGTATCAATGCAAAACAATGTCTCTGTTTACATGGAATGAAAGCTGTTAGCTGACCAAATCAGCTTAGTTAGTTAGCTTAGCTCAAATGCCCAGTATGAGCACATGTGTCTGTGTGATACCTTCACAGCAGCAGATACAGCAGCAGCAGCCGCGATAGTGAGACCCTGACGCCCGAAATTCACCATCGTCTCATAACTCTTATCTCTGGCCTGGACAATATAGTCATCAATATCCTGCCAAACATAATGTAAAAAAAAATCTATAAATCTATAATTAAAATTCACCCTTAACCTCCAACTAGGACTTTGACAACAAACAATTACAGAGGGAACGAGATATGCAGTTAAAGGAACCGTGGAGTTTAAATCATAGTTTACAATGATCACATAATCGAGACATCCAACTAACCCAATCCATCTGTTTTTCTCTTAACGTTACTTATGTGATCATTGATAATGTAATCCTACTGACTCCTTAATACATTTCAGTATGACTGTGTGTTCACTTTCAGTATATGCCTAATCGCAGGGAACCTGATGATGTGTTAGGGTCATTACCCTTTCCTTGGATGCCAGCATAGGGTGTAGGAACTTCCTGTAGAGAACACTGGCTCCTCTGGTGTAGGGAGACAGCAACCAAAAGACGAAAGCCATTTTCAGTTCGTAGTAAACTGGAAACCTAAAACATAGTCACGTGCAATTAATGTGAAAATAGAGGGATGACGGAAGACAAAAAGAATGAGTTTGAGTTAAACTTTCTCTACGATCTCTAAAGTCTCTGGTACCGTAGTCGTAGTACTGACACCTTAAAGGGTAAGTTCACCCAAAAAATGAAAAAATATTCAATTACTCACCCTCATGTCATTCAAAACCCGTAAGACTGAAGATATTTTAATGAAACCTGAGAGATTTCTGTCCCACTACCACTTTGACACTTCAAAAAGATCATTAAGAGATCATAAAACTAATCCATATGAATTGAGCAGTTTAGTCCAAATTTTCTGGAGAGACTCGATCACTTAATTTGATTAACAGATTGAATTTAGGCTTTTATTCACATAAACATTGATCAGCGAAACTAAACAGAAGCTCAACCAAACCTGCATAACACACAAGAATGAACCTCATTGGCATTTCGGCATATTTGTGTGTAGGCTATTTGACCGTTTAGGCGCGTATCCGAAGCCCACAGTATACTTTGCTTATGCGCGTTCCGCCCCGTCTCTGAGCGCGCACACAGGAGGCCGCCTAGGGAACAGTATCTCTTTTACGACTTAATATGCTATTAATAACACTGTTTAATATCAAGCACATCCCATAGTTTAGCAACAGTAGACTGCATTTTATAACACTCAGTTATTTGGCCGTTTTGGATGTCAAGTTTGGAGTTTTAGGAAGGAACGTAAGCTGTGAAGGAAAGTGTGCTGGACAGAATGTGGCAGCGGCATACTAATCAATTTACGTCAATAATCTTGTTTTCATAATTTTTGGAAGCCAAAATCAAAATCAATTACGATTAATCGCACAAGCCCTACTCAATGGTTCTCGCGAAAGCTCAAACATGCTGTGTAACACACGAGAACAAACCTCATTGGTTCTTGCCATCAAACAAGCATGCTTGAGCTTCCATTTACCATATCTGATATGTGTGTTGTTGATGAATATTTATATGTGAATGAATACAAATAAAGCGATCGTGTCTCGTCAGAATATTTGGACTAAAACGCTCAATTCATATGGATTAGTTTTACAATCTCTGTATGGATTTTTGAAGCGGTAGTTGCGTGGACTGTCAATAGTGGGACAGAAATCTCTCAGATTTCATTAAAAAATATCGTCATTTGTGTCTTACGGGTTTGAAACGACATTTGAGTGAGTAAATGATGACAGAATTTTCTAAATTTTTTAAAGGTGAACTGTCCCCTTAAGCAACAAATAAACAGCCTTGGTTGATTGACGTAATGAAACTATATCTGTTAATAGACAGATTTGAATAATAAAATAATTTGCCAAATTAAAGTGATATTATATATTTGTATATCTTTGTTTTTAATTATTGTTATTTATTTATGTTTTAGAATTTTTAGTGCCATGATTTTTAGAACCCTTTACTATAGAGTACTCTGTGCAGTTTTATCCTGAGCTATCCTTACAAATAAAGCTGATCTAATTTGGGACGACCAGTAACTTTTTTTTTTCTTTTTTTTTTTTTAAATGTCACGAAACTAATGAAATGCACTCAAATTTAACTGAACTGAAACTGAACCTAACAGACTGGTTCCCCTAAGTGGCCTGAGGAAAATAAACGGAGCTCAAAATCTGCAAGTGCAGCAACAGATAAAAGCCCTTTTCATACACCACAAAGGCTGGACAGTGAAAAGCCACACAATAGAGAAGAATTGCTAAATGTTAATAAAACCACTTGATGCACAATTACTCCATGCAATCCAATAGCAATCATTTGTCTCTTTTCAGACAGTGTGACTGAGTATGTACAGTATTTACCAAGCCAAAGAAAGGTCTGTGATGGTCTCCACCACTGTGTAAAGTGCAAACACAATCCAGTACATCATCCATCGCACCTGTCAAACCACAAACACAAAATGTTTGTTGAAAGTATAGAAGAGATAATACAAAAACACACCATGGTGGACCATTTAAACTAAGGTACAACTTTTTTGGCGCTCGAGCGGTTAATAAAAACAAAACTGCATGCGTCTTGCGGAAGAATATTGTAGCGGAGCTACTTCTCTCAGTTTATGTTTATGACGAGTCACGCAGGTTCTTCACAGCGGTTGTTGTCCCGCTCCGTCTAAATTAGTCAGAATATAAACACTTATTATAGGCGTATCATAGTGATTCAGGATAAGGCAAAACACGATTTGGAAGATGGTACATTCATGATGTAGGCTACTCGCTCATTACATACATTTTAAACAAAAAGTTACATAGTGTACCTTTAAATATTACAATATATGAATATTAATAAATTACTATATGGTACATATCAAAATACTATTGTAACAACATCACTATATACCAAATACATTATATTTTGTAAGGAGAGAAATGGAAGTAGCTGGAAGAGACCATAAAGTGAGGATACACTGCGGAAGGACAGGATTAAAATGCTAAACAGCTCAGGGTTTAGTTACTGACAGCCTCTGTCAGATACTAAGAGTAACCGGGATATACAAACAGCTGGAGCTCTCCATCTACTCCGGCTGTTAACGTTCTCTGAACTCTAATATTAAGAGTCAGTAGAACATTGCTGGATAATGATATGCATATGACTTTGTCTTGTTTGTTCAAAGTATTGAATACTCACATATTCTTTGACGTTCTTGGATTTGACAGCTTTAAAGGAGTAGTATGCAGGATACAGCGTTCCAAACACAAGACTGTGTGAGGAAACACAAACAGGCATGCAATTGAGACTACTATATTCTAAAATGCCTGTTATAGGCACAGGCAAACAAATAAAGGTTCAAGCTGACAGTAACACTCTTTACAATTAGGGACATATGTTATATCGATTGATCTATAGGCCTATCGGTTATCAGCCAATATTAGGGATTTTTTTTGGGGACATTTGGTTTACCTTTGCCATCATCTAACATTCACATTATCTTTAAAATTAATACTTTATTTTAAAAAAGTAACATTTTTACAACACTGTCTTGAAGCTGATATCTTTTTTTCCTATTGTTGTGGTGCCTAAATTCACTTATAGCATTTAAATGGATTGATCTTTGTGTTTTTTTTTTTTTTTTATTCAGACAAAATAGTGTAGAATTCAGTCATTTATTGGTTATTGGCCATAACATGAAAATAATTATGGGCTTATCTGAACCAGAATTTGAATATCCCATTCCCTATGGACAATTTTGTATGAAATATTACTACTATTTAACATTCATTTGGATGCCCACCCAAATGGCACAGCCTTTACCTTTGGTTACATGCCAATAAAATATTAAAAATGAAACACTGATCATTCAAAATGCTTTGTTAATTCTACAAATATCTATTTATTCATGGTTTTTGCATGATGAAACACCTTTATAGGAACGCCCACCTGGAGGGCAAAAAAAGGCTTTTCTCCATTGCTTGCCAGTTATTTTTTACCAGGTTTGTACTAAGTACTAATGTAGTAAGAGCAGTGATATTAAATTAAAAATACACCTTATTAATGATGCATACTATGTACAGGCAAGAAGATGAACCCAGAGTATAAATGCCACGTGCAGTTTCTCATTAAGATTTTTTCCATACAAAACCATTATAAAGAAAATGCCATTTCAAAAATGCCATTTTTGTTTTCTAAATACCACCGTTTCAGGCACTGTTTTTTTTTTCATGCTATGCGTTTTAGAAAGTCCTGCTGTTTTTAGATATTTAAATACTGCAGCAGGAGCAGTATCTGGATCATGATTCACAAGTGCCCAAAACTTGCATTTTGTTCACATATTTTTGTTTTTCTTCTTTTAAGAGTTGATCTAAATATATGTGGCTTGAAACGGATGGAAAACTAACAGGCAAGTGCTGCAGTTCTATGGACGGTTTGCCCTCTAGGTCTCTGCGGCAGTCACATGACTGAAAACTATGAATAGTTACGGATGAGATTGAAAAAAAAAGAAGCATGTTTTTTAGTTTTTTTCCCCCAAAGAGGTGCTAAACACCTCACTTCAGTATCCACGGCATTCACTGTAACCGGCCTGTCTTTCCCTGGACTTTCCCTGCATTTTCAGTAGCTATGGGAACGACAGCACTGCCTGATACCGTCTAAAGTTATGTGCATTCATGGGTGTGTGTGTGTGTGTGTGTGTGTGTGTGTGTTGAGGGACTGTTGGATGGATTCCATTTATTGCGTAACCGTTTCTCCACTCTGAAGCATCTCTACCATAAAGCAAAATAAGTGCTGAAGTCAAGAGTAGAGGTCATTTTTTAACTCAAAACAAAAATGATCATTTGTAATTAAACAACTTTAGCATCACCAAGTCATCTTTTCCAAACAGCCCTGTATTGCTATTACTACTAGTCAGAAGAAAGTGTTTAAGCGTCGAATTATGTGAGGACACATTACAGTCACAATGGTTTAGTCATGCATTTCCTATTACGCTGTTCGCTGGGAGAACTTGTGAGGGTAAAAAAAAAAAGAAGGTAAAAAAAAAAAAAAGAAATTCATGTGTGCGCGTGATGTTACTGCACATCTCTAAAAACAGCTAGGCCTTGTTTGCCATCATCAAATAATTCATCATGTTCACTAACAGTAAGAACACAAAAGGCATTTCAAAAGACCTTTAGACTTTGTAACTGACTATAACCTAGTATAAGATGTATTTCTATCAGTGACGACCAGAGACCTTATCTCTTACATTGTCAGTACACTAAAGATAACCAAACCCGCCACAGCAAACAGCTCCTAGTGAGATGAGGCACAGAATGTGCTTTCCTGTGCTGACCTTTCCACAAAGAGAGGGACACACCTAATGTAACATTAAGGTCCAGCAGGAAAACAGCAGTTCCTCCTTCCTTGTCAGACAGGGACATTAACCAAAGCAGGTCTCCAGCCAAAAACATGATGGATTTCCTGTTCTACTCCACTACGGCAGCAAGACAGATGTTTTTTTTTTCTGCTTAATTTGTGAATTTGTATCATGTTTGACATGAATCAGGGGTTCCTCCTACAGGTCCGTGAATTGTAATGATTTTTCCATTAGCCTACTTTTCCAATCTTTTGTGATGACTGTATTAGGACTTTGCACAATCAAAAATAGTAATATCTCTCATCTCTAGCTGATAAAATACTTCAGATCTGACCACACCTAGAAAAAATATATTGACTGTAAACATTTCCATGACCGTTTAAAATTGAATTGATTTTCATTACCTTTCTGGGCCTGAAAATCAAACTTAAATTTCCTGGTTTTAGATTTTCAGGACTGTGGGAACTTTGTTGATTGTGGGGAAAAAAAAAAAAAACATGAAAATACTGCAGTGTTGCAACTGTAACATTATTATATTGGAGACAAAACGGTTTTTAAACTGAAGCATGTTGAGTATTTTTTTTAGGTTTTTTTACTCGTGACCGAAAGCAAATAGCACACGACAATAAACATTACGATTTGCTTGGTGGATTTATAATACTATTTTCAATGATAACATAGATATATAGAGACAGACAGTGTGCATAGATTTGATCAGTATGCACAGTCAACAGTTTTTCTAATAACAGTTAAGTTACATGTAAGCTCAGAAACAAAGCAAATCTTTTTTAATAAATACTCACACGATGACCCTAGATATAATCCACGACACCATCTTCCAACCTGTTGCACTTTCAAGTAATGAGATTGGCTGCAGGTCCAGTCCAGATGTATAAATTATTCAAGTAAACTATAACTAACAATAACTTTTGTCTCGCTTCTCCAACCGCTAAAACTCAAACATTGAGTTCCTGTTTTTAACACATACGTTCTGATATCCACAAGTCTACAAGATGACATCGTTATTTGACAAATAAACACTCGTTTTAGCTGTTGTTATCTCCCTACATTATGTCCCGTTGTGTTAAACGTGTAACTTATGTATTGTTTTTCTTCTTCTTCTTCTTCTTCTCATTTCCTTTCGGACTAGGAACGATGTCACGTTTGATTGATGGCTCGACTGGCCACCGATTGGACGGAGCCAATGGTTTGTCCCGCCTTCTGCGTTTGCTGATTGGCCCATTGACTCCAAACAGGGTCACAGGGCGGAGCAGTGCAGAGCAGGGCAGGCACGCTGGTTGCGTTCTAGGATGAGAATGATTTTGTGGCAGGTAATTTTATGAAACATTTTTAGTTGAAGATGTTAAAATATTCTTCGATGGATGGATGGATAGATATTGTTATGTATTTAATGAACGCATTTTCGTGTTGTAGTTTGATGGATGGGATGTATTTTGAATGCAGGTTCAAAACAGGTTCATTCTCAAGTTGATTTGCTTTTGCTCAGGAACGTTCTCATTCTAATCTAGAGAGCAGTTTATTGGACAAAAACTTGGATGCACCTAAGTGTAAGATAAGACATAAATATTTTTGATCCATGGTACATGTTCTAAAATATCATGTTTTCATCTTTAAGAAGTAGCCTACTACACTAACATATAGATGACCTCAATGGTAATTATACCAATAGACAAAGCAACAAATCTCCAGGTTATCTGAGTGGAACTACACTGTAGGTAATTTCCTATCATTCGGGGCCTGACAAACAATCATAGGATGATTTTTGAGATAATAAATCATATATTTATGGTAGCAATAATGTAGGTTAGTTATATAGATGTTAGGGGTGTGCGATATTGACAAAAACAAAGGATATCTTAATATTTTCTGGGATTTTATCGATAATAATAATTATACAATATTTTGCTGATATTTATTGTGTTGGTACATGGCAGGTTTAGGACTGCCGTTGACAGCTGACTCTCAAAGCTTTTGATATTCTTTATATTTTGTGCGGCGGATAGTTCACAGTAGTGACATAAATTATCTTTTTTTTTTCATTAAGTTTAAATTGATTTTTACCTTTAATGGGCATTTTACCTTTATAAAGCCATTTTTTAACCTAATTAAATGTATGCATCATCTTTTGTGTCAAATTCTTACATTTAATCAAAAAAATTCAATTAGAATAATAAGACACAATAGGCTGTTACCAATTAAATGAAATCAGTATCAACAAAATTCATTTTTGCAATGCAGAGGAAACAAGCTGCATCTGAATTGGCATTTAGAGAGAGGCCTGCTCACCGCAGAGCCATGGGTGGAGTGTGAAGTCCAGCTCCCCTTCTCTGAATGTGATTTGGGCATAATGGGTGGAGCTAGAATATCCAACCACACCCTGGCTGCGTCCGAAATCGGATACTCTCTCGAGTAGGTACTTATTTTGAATTTTAGTTAAAAAAGTATGTTCTATATAGTATCATGTACACCAGAATCTCGCTGTTAGTAGAAGGTCATCCAGGTACTTTTTTTGCCAACTCTTTTATCAGTACTGTGAATTTGGACATACTGCTTTTGTCACATACTGTTTTTCATCTACTATATAGTAGGGAAGTATGCGATATCGGATGCAGCTCCTAACCCTGTATACCTTAACTCCTGACATCAAGAGACGTGTAGCTGGACGTCATTTGGCTCTGCAGTGAGCACCACTTGCATTTATTAGATGCATTTACACAGACTGTTTAATGCAGCTCAGAGGAACATGAATGTATTTCACCTGCAGTTACAAATGCATAAATAATGTTTTAAAAATAAAATGTTGAATATTGATATTTAGAAATTATTTAAAGGGGTCATATAATGGTACATGCGCTTTTTCAAGTGGATTGTACTGAAATGTGTGTTGGCAGTGCCTGTACACAACCATCATATAATGATAAAAATCTATCCAGTGTTTTGGTTTTAATCTCCTTATATGTTTTCCCCTGTCTCAAATCAAACCGTTCGATTTTGTGACGTCACACGGTCGGATGCCCCTCCCACGATTGTTGATTGACAGCAACAATCGTGTTTCAATGTGTTGAAACAATGTTTCAACACATCCCCGCCCTGAGCGAGCTGTCATCATAGTCCGCCATTGTTGATACACTGGAGCAGAATGGCGTCTAAGCGATTGTGGTGTTCTGTTCGTGGGTGTAATAATGAACACAGCAGTCATTTTGATGTTCCTAAATCCGAACCGCTGAAGACACAGTGGCTGAGTTTTGTTTTCGAAGGGAATATTCCCCATGAGCAACGTCAATGCTTTCATGTTTGCGCGATTCACGAATCATTTCTCACCAGACTGCTTTATAAACGAGGATCAGACTCAGTATAAAGCTGGTTTTGCTAAGAAGCTGCTCCTGAAAAAGGAATCGTACCAACTATTCATGTCCCTGCTGCACCTCCAGAAGAAGTGAGTGTAAAATTGTATAACCTTTATATTAATCTTTGCGAATCGTTTCCACGCTTCACGATGAATGCGGCTAAGGTTTACACTAAGGGTAAGTAACATTACGGCATGTTTTCTATGTACAACGTTCTCAATATAATTCATAATCCCACGTTTATATTGAACAACGCGTTATGGTTATTGTGTTATTACAAACTGAGTACGTATACATCAGTAAACACATAGCGTTCGTACATCTCACTAAAATACTCTAACGTTACCCTGCCAGTACAAAGATAGATCAAAGTGACATTATGTTAACCAACCATTCAAAAACGTCCTATTCGAGCCTTAATTGTCGAACTTCTTTGCGGCCGTCATCTTGTTCCGGGTCCTACTCCGGTTCAAACTGATACGCAGATGTGTCCTCAGAGACTCCCGCTGCCATTCTTTCTCCAAAATATACCCTCAACTGTTGTCAAGGCAACACTCCACGTGCATTGCCCGCAGAACAGAGGGGCGGAGTGAGCGAAGCTCATTATCATTTAAAGGCATATGCACTGAAACGCCGTGCTGAAAACAGAGCTGTTTTTGACCAGGTAAAATGAGTGTTTTCTTACAATACTAACGAGAATTTTTAATTAAAGTATATTACAAACTTTTCATTTATACCCTAAAGAATCAAATTAACTTGTATGAAAATTGCATTATATGATCACTTTAAAAATGAAAAGATACTTTAATTGTGAAATTAAAACTGTCAAGTGGCAGCAAGTCACTGTTAATGAGTGAGAACATCGGCTGCATCTGAAACCGCATACTTCCCTAGTCGGCGAAAAACTGTATGTGACAAAAGAAGTATGTCCAAATTCACAGTACTCATAAAAGAGTAGGCAAAAAGTACCTGGATGATCTACTACTTCTGGCAAGATTCTGAAGTGTGCATACAATGGACACTTTACTATCCCATGAGGCCACGGGAGAGGATTTATGAATGACAGTAAAGCGACGTAACTGACACTGTCACGCTGGTAGTCACATGATAATGACAACATGGAGAATGTAGTATGTCCAGATTACATTCATACTACACACATTCATAGTATATAGAACATACTTTTATAGCGGTCGTGATGTAACTACTTACTCAAGAGAGTATGCGATTTCGGACGCAGCCATTGAGTTTCAACCAATTCATTCGACAAAGCATTTCAATGAGCCATTGAATCATTTATTCAAACGATTTGTTCATTCAGTAACGAGACACAAAACAGTACTGTGGCTTTGGAACTGTTTTCATTGGTGAAAAAAAGCAAAAACAGGCAATATTGTGTCTAAAATGTAAGTCACTTAATATTAACTTATTGTTTATTGAACTGCTGTATAAAATCAACATCGCATTTGTATTCATGCTGATATTTGGAGAAAAAACTGCACTCTGTGTGATTTTGATTAATAAATAATATAAATATTAAAGACATACAGAGGTATTTTTGCCCTCTTTTATTGAATATTGGGGGCATTATAAATGCTTTTTAAATCACACAGTGAAAGGTTGCACTCTAAATGCACAAGCTCACTTGTCTAACTAGACTACATCACGTAGTGTACAGTATGTGTGCACTCTCTATGTGTGTTTTTGTAAAGAGAGGGATATACAGTACGTGATAATGTCAGATCACACATCGTTAAAACAACAATCACGATATTATCGTATATATATATCGCACACCTCTAATAGATGGTAACTGTAAATGCATTAATGTCTCTTAATGAATGATTTAGATAATAGTAACAGAAAGTATGCATTACTTAACAATATACAACAGCTGCATATTTTCTGCCACATTTGTTTTAGGTTCTCTCAATTTGCCCTCAAGTCGATTTTGCAGTGTGCATTAGATTGTTAAAATGCACAAGGGAGTAGCAGAGTGATTAATGATGGCTTTAACCTTTCTTTTGTAGATGTCTGCACCCATCTGTGATCATTTGATCCACACTAAGAATGTAAATGAAAAATGTATGAAGTCTTGATTTTGGACCCTCAAGGAAATGTGTTTTTATCTGGTTTCAAAGTATGAAAGAAACTAAAAGCAGTCAATGGCTCACTTATCCATTGCAACATTGTGTTGTGTTAGGCTATGTTTAAGAAAATACTGTAGTGGCTTTGTTGCAATGTGTTAGGAGAAAATTACATTCAAGGGGCCTTTTACCCTGTCATAGAGAACAATATTGGTGAGGGCCTCATTGTCATTCCATCTCAGAGGTTCAGTGTAGGATGCTTGGCCATTTTTAATTTTCCAAAATATTTCAGCTCAGGATGATCCTATAGCTCCTTAAAAAAATCTAGTGCACATTACAAGGTAGGCTACCAATGTATTAATATTTTGCAATTTCTTTGTTTACTGAAGTCCAAATGAAAAGAACAAGAATGCTCAGGGTTCCACTTTCAGGATCAGAGAATGATTTCAGTCTCAGCCCTTATTTTTTTAATAGTGCATTTTTTAAAAATACACATTTTGGGCAAGAGTCTCAGTTGGCATTTTTGATTAAATGCCTTGTCTGTGTGCCACCTGGAGACAGACAGTCATTTCCATATAGACATTATCACTCTCCCAACAGCTGTCATAAATTCACTTATTTTTCCAACAGATTACCAGTGTTTAATATAATAA